ATGTCAGTTTTAGAAACTCTTTACGGTGGCCAATTTACATTATCAAGTTTAGAGGGTCAAATCATTTGAAACTGAATCATGCAATCAGGGCCAGACCACAGCACTTTGAGAACTAGTTTGAGTAGTGATAATAAAATAGCAGTGCCGGTAGTATAACAGTAACAGTATGTTGGACATGTATTTCAGCTGGATAACTGATATAAATCAATTGCGATCAATGACTTAAAATTCATTTAATGATCATACCTATTTTCTGTAATGCGAAGGAATGAATAAAGGTTTGCCAAATGGATACTAGGTGCAAATTTCTTCTAAATTATTCCATCAACCATAAAACTTTTCCTTTGAATCAGTATACTAAGTGTCTAGCTTGTGAATGCAGCCATATTTGCAATTGTCACTTCACTCCAAAACCAATTGCTATCATTATAAACACCATTTTCATTATAATGTTAAATTTGAAAAAACTGTCTCTTATACCTGGAGGGTACATTCTCAAAACTTCAGCTGCCACCATGTCTAGGTATGGCATTTCATGGACTGCATCATAGGACAACATTTGGTTTTCATCTGGCCAAACACTGTCAATCTCTTGTTGTACTTTCTCCTGAATTTCAGGATCAACTGCCAGATGATGGGACATAAAACTTAAGGTGGTGCTAGTGGTTTCATATCCAGCAGCAAGAAAGACAAAGCTTTGAGCAATAATTTCTGCATCTGAGAGCTTCTTGGACTCTGGCAGTGAAGAGTCATCTGCTGCTGAGAGCATTAAATCTAGCATGTCCTGCAATAAAAATTGCAATTGAATTAATTGAATTTATGTGACACTCTATGTCTAAATTGCACCTTAAAGATACCAGAAACTAGTAGCAAAAGAAGTGCGATCTAAGAGTAAGAAATTAGCTACGTTACATTTCATGAGAATGATATTGATGAAATTGATAGTGATAATGATAACAATGCTATCACCATTGCTTCCATGGTGCTACGTCCACCGCAAATAATGATGATGATGATGATGAGTGCGACCCTGTGATTATAATTATGGTGACAATAGACAATAAAGTATCAACAGTACAGGTAACAGTAAATGTGATGGTAGCTCTGCACTACTCTGTAATCAGCAACACAGAGTAACCACAGTGTCTATGACTATGGGTGAAACAAAGTGATGATTTTGTCGATGCTATTTACTTTGGATGGTGATGATGGAGAAAGTGAAAATGATTACAATGTCACATATGTTACTTTCAACATTGCTGATCCTAACAATACGCAGGATGTGTGTCAACTATTAACCTAGAAATAGCCTAAATCAATACAGTCTCTGTAGTTCAGAGTAGAGTATCAGAGCTTGCAATCTGAAGGTCTGGTGTTCACTCCTCAGGGGGAATCAAAACTTTTTTGTTGTTCCATACTCATAACAAGACAATAACATCCTCCGCTAATGACAAAAACTGTTTGTAAGATCTAGAATTTGCATTTGATTTTTTTTCAGCCTATATAGTGAATATTACCTTCCTATATGATCTCCCAACACTTCCTTTCTTAGTTTGAACTATTTCCTCTGAGATCCTCAAAAGAGGTGTAAAATTTGACAGGAACAGGGCTGGAATGTTTTCCAATAGTTTCATACCAAAAGGTAACAAGGTTACACCCCCCAAAATAATTTTTTGAAAAGTAGTTTGTGACATGGTCAGTTTAGCTGCATTCAGAACTGGATCATCTGGATTATTTTGCGCATCCACTTGAAAACCAAAAACAGAGGAAAGAATGACTTCCATTGTCAGGCACTGGTGAATTCTAACAAAAAAAAAAAACTTCTTACTAATGGAACATGAGTGCCCTACTAACTTCTTACTGACTGAGTTTGAGGACCATACTAAAAATATTGGCCAGAGGTCATGGTAGTACATACTGAGTATAGTGAGGTCTGTTAAAAAAGGTTAAGGACCAGTATTCCCTGGTACAGCTCCAGCAAGCAAAGTTAATATATAGTTCATCACATGGCAGTCAGACCAAACTTGTTGATTGTGAGTTTGCCAGCTTTCCTGAACAAAAAAATACACAGCTTGTGACTGTTTCTGTGGAAACAGTCCATATGGAAAATATCTAGTGGCAACCAATCAGAATGCTCAGGTTTCACTCAGGCCTACCTTGCCAAATATTAATAATGATTATAGCTGTGGTTTTATGAGGTAGGCAGTTTCCATAGTTTAAGGAAGCAAGAACACACAGTACTGCAGCATTTTTGGTTACTTACTTCTGAATATCAACACTCTTTTCCGTATCAGCAAATTCCCCAAGCTTTTTGATCAAATTGTCACAGGATGCATTCATCAATGGAACCATCTGCTTCATTTTGAGAGCGCTGAAAGACGGTGTTAAAGTGTTGCGAATACGTTTCCACTGTTCTTTTTTGGCTTCTGACATCATATAACAAAGAGGTTCAGGTTGTTTAAAAAATTCCTGAAAACAATTAAAAACCAATAAATCAGGAAACTGGAAGGAGTTGTGTATAGTTTTAAGCTTTCATTTCAAAGTCGTGTAAGGAACTGACAAAAAAAGAAGCAAAAAGGCGAAGTCTTTCTCGGAGAGATGTTTAAAATACTATTTATTTAGAAACGAAGCTAACACTCCAAAATCGTGCAGGGAACTTACGGGGCGATCGGCGAAGGAAGCGAAGTCTTTCACGAAAAGATCCCTCAGCAGGTCAGGATCGCTGACAACAATACTGCTCATGTTGCCCAAGATAAACATGGAGAACACATCGCCATATTTCTTGTAATACTCGTCAATCTGAAGATGCATTAACCCCTTGTGCTTTATAGCATCCAGCGAATGCCCGATGAACGGCAGAGGAGTCGGTCCTTTAGGATAAACGGCTTTTAACGTCCGATATGGGACAATAAAGTACAAATAAACCAACAGAATGGATGAGGCGATTAAAATCGTTGGCCAGTGCTCAAGAAATTGCTCGGAAAAGTTTAAAATGGACATTTTCGTAGCAAAGCTTGAGGAGCTTCCTGTTTAGACCCAAAATCTTCTTGTTTACATTTAGTCTCACCTTCAAATGCTTATTGCCCAGCCCCTTCTGGAATGTACGTCGCGTAAGAATACACCAAAATTTCTCTGTAATTTTGAGCTGAGAGGGTTGATCATACGTGGCCATACGTGGCCAGAAATATTCACGTAGTCTTGTAAGTCCGTGCAATACCATTCAGACTTCATCAACAAAAATTCCATGTCGATCTTGCAAAAGGTGCTCTAGATGATCTTTTGAGGGGATACTCGAGGAAAAAGGTAACGGGGATACTGGCCCCCATGAACTTCCTCCCACCCAAATGGAGTCTCATTTTTAAACTGCTCAATATGCTCTAAAGGATTGTCATAGCAGATGAAAGGATCATTTCACGGTTTCATCCAAATATTAAAGACAGGATATTTACAGTTTCTCCCTGTTTTACTCAGAAGTAAAATGATAGTTACCTCATTTAAACAAAATATGGAACTCTTCAAACAGACTTATTTGGCCACCATTCCAGTGCACCCATCAACCAACCAGATGAATGGCCACAATACCCTGAGCTTCTTCTTTATTTCTCTTGCCATATTCAAAATATTGTCAGTATCTAAATTCAACCACATGTTGTGTAATGGTAGACTATTGACTACAACAACAGCAATGTTTTTTCAAGTTTTAGGTTGGATTCTTTTTTCCTCAGACTGCCAATTGTAACGTTGCTAAGAAACTAGAGTAGCCTTGCTGCAGGAGATCGGAAAAAGCTAAAAAGAAGTCCCGGAAAAGGTCGAACATGGTACAATTTGGCAGATGGCGTGACAGCTTTAGCTCAGTTCTATGCTCTATACTCTCATAGAGCACGCTCTTTCAACCAATGACAGCGCGCGTTATATCCAAACTTTATTATAATTACTACTAGAAAAAGAAAAATGTAATAGATTATGCTAACAACAGCAAGCTTTGTCCTGAATCAGTTCTTTAATGTAAGTCAATTATCATCAGCACAAGAAGTGTTGAAAGACTTAAGACAACAGTTTTCCAAAGCATTTTCCCTTTACTTTCGTGAAGTTATTCTAACATTAACACCAGAACATGACAACGTAGATGCAACAAAAACATCAGGAGGAATCTTTGTATCTGCCGCTACTTCCAGACGATATTTCTTCAACATTCTTGCCAGCACCATCTTCATTTCCATTTGCGCAAACCTCATTCCAATACAATTGTGAGGTCCATGACCAAAAGGCATGTAGGAGTAAGGATTAATGGATTGTTTGGCTGCAGGTGAGAAGCGCTCCGGATCAAATTCATCAGGGTCTGGATAAATGGATGGGTCTCGCTGAATGCTGTACACTGGTATTACAACTATTAAACCTTCAGGTATTTTGACTCCTTTAAGAACACATGCTTTTGTACAGACACGGACTATGACAAATCCTAAAGAAGAAAAAAAAAAAAACCTTCAACTATTTACCTCCAAAAATAAGCCAATATAATCAAGCATTTCAAGGCTTCCATATCCTGGAAGGACATTTGAGCTGTGAGGGAAATTAAGTTTTTGAGTGGTTCTTTGCCATGGAAACTCCCTTGTCTCTTAACACCCCTTAAAATAATGCATGTAGATTTATGCCTTCCAAGGCAAGCAAGGGTGTGGCAAAGGAGATCCTCATGTGTGAGGCTCAGTGAGCCCTTCATTGTTAGGACCAAGTGTCAATTAAAAATAATAATAAACATAATAAAGATAATAATAATAATAATAATAATAATAATAATAGCAATAATAATTATAATCATAATAGTGATAAAAAACCTGGAAGGCTCCTGGGTGGCCAGAGAATGGTGGAGTAAGAATTCACCTACCAGAGTTTTCACCTAGACACCCCCGGCAGAACATAAAAAATAACCTAAAAGAAAAGACAACCATCTGCTCTTGAGTCTTCTAGCCCTCATTCCCAGAGCCTATCCTTTTTTTTTCTGCAGCATAAAGTGACAAAAGCATTGCTATCACCCGTGAATGAATGGCTTAAGTCCACCATAGCCTAACCCTGCCATTTCATTTTGCATGCTAGTAGTTATGCCCCTGAGTGAAGAGACACTGTGACAGTTAAGTATCCTGACCAGGGCTCAAACCCAGACCTCTCCCAGCCCAGCCCAGCATGCTATCAACCAGGCCACTGCCCCTCCCACATAAGGGTTCATGTACACTGCTGGTTTCAGTGAAATACGACTTGTCTTTGATACCTGGAGGGTACATTCTCAAACTTTCAGCCAAGACCATGTCCAGGTATGGCATTTCATGGACTATTTCATAGGACAACATTTGGTTTTCATCTGGCCAAACACTGTCAATCTCTTGTTGCAGTTTATCCTGAATTTCAGGATTTATGGCTAGATGATGGGAAACAAAACTTAAAGTGGTACTGGTGGTTTCATATCCTGCAGCAAGAAAGACAAGGCTTTGTGCTATGACTTCCATGTCTGAGAGCTTCTTTGTTTCTGGTACTGAAGGGTCATCTGAGGCTGCCAGCATCAAATCAAGCATGTCCTATAAAATGTAAGCATTATAAGTAAAATTATATGCAATTGCTAAATTTTCAGTGTTGGTGAAAAAATTACAGCAAAAAGATGAACTGGAGTAAATGGAGTGATTTTCTAGTTAAAGGGTGGTTCTGAAAAGAACTGTTGACAGTTAATCCTTTAACCCTCATGAGTGACCAAGACAGAATTTCTCCTTACAATATCAATACAATTTCAAGCAGACAAGTGATGAGAATGAATATAGGAGAAAAGAAGTGTCAATTAGGGGATAATTATTAGTTGATCCAATACAAAATTCTCTTAACTAACATGAAAAGAATTGTAAAGAGAATCACTAAGATGATCTCACACTTGAACAACCTGAGCACAATAAGTCAATATCAGTATACAAGACAAGTTGTTTGTCCTTCTGGTCTGGTTTATGAAAACTACTCAGACAGTTTTGATCTAGGCTTCTCTTTGGCTAGGTTTTAAAGACACAACATCCAAAAAATTAGAGCGTCTATCCTTTAATTACCTAATTACATAAAGTAAAACCAACAGAATGCTACCTTCCTAGTGCTAGAGTTTCCACCACTCTCTCTTTTGGTGTGAACTATTTCTTCTGTAATGTTCAGGAGAGGAATATTATTTGACATCCACAAACTTGGTATCTTCTCCATGATCTTTGCCCCAAATGGCATTGTAGATAGAAATGTCAGCAGAATTTTCTGAGAAGTTGACTGGTTCATTGCTTTCTTAGCTGCTTTAAGAACAGGATCATCAGGATTGTTCTGTGAGTTCACTTGAAAACCAAATGCAGCAGAAACGATAGCATCCATTGTTAAACACTGGTGAAGTCTACAGGAAAAAGATAGGTACAAGTTACCAATCTGTATATCATGAGAGGTATGTGTCATGTTGTTTACTGAATATCTCAAGCTATAATTTTTGAAGCATCATATCTTAATGGCAAAGGGGTTTGCTTTGCTGGAGGATTATTGTCTGTACTGCAGCATAATTGCATCTAGCACACTTATGTTTATTTTTTAAAGCCTATTTCTTAATATATTGCAAGCCCTTTGTCTGACAAAATTGGTTGTATTTCTTTTTGGTAGATATAACTTCTTTTAAGATGTATTTTTAGGCAGATGTATTTTGCAGATGAGGAGCTACCTTATGAAAATGCTGAATAAATGTAGAAAAGTATATTTCCCCACAAAAACACCCTTTTAAAGCAAATATAATTACATTACATTGACAAGTGTCAAAAAGCTATTTAAAAATTTCAATTTTTGGTAAATATTTCTGTACTTACTTCTTAATGTCAACACTTTCCTCTTTATCAGCAAATTCACCAAGCTTTTTGATCAAATTGTCACAACAAATATTCATCAAGGGCACAATCTGTTTCATCTTCAAAGCACTGAAAGCTGGTGACAAAGTGTTACGAATACGTTTCCACTTGTCTTTGGTAGCAATTGTCAACATGCTGTTCAGAGGTTCAGGTAGCTTAAAAAATACCTTTAAATGATAAAAAGAATCCTAACTATCAGTTAAGTGAGAGAATTCAGTCAATATTGACATCCACATGTAGCTCAGGCAGGATGCATGTGTAAGTTTTGGGTAGATGGGTGTCCACCTCTCCAAACAATACCCCATTCTTAAATTAGTTTAGGGATATGGTTCTGTCCATTTTTAATATCCAACTCTAAAAATTTTTGACAATGTCAGCAATTTTGTCAAAGCATATTCTCCTGAAAAAATTTATTCTCCCTCCCACACCCCATCTGAACTTAATTTTAAAGTGCTGACTGTGCAATTAAGCACTTGACATCTGACCAAAATGCAAAGGTGAACGCCTTCTACTACATCAAAGACTCAAAGCTGACAAAAAGAAAAAAAACTGCACATTAACAAAAGACAGTCGGTGGCGATTACCGTAATTGATAAAAGGTTTATGTATGTTGAACTTACCGGGCGATCAGCAAAAGAACCAAACTCTTTGACGAAAATGTCTCTCAGCATTTCTGGGTCCGAGATTATTATGCATGGTTTGCTGCCAAAGGTAAGCATGGAGTATACTTGGCCGTATTTTTTGCAATATTCGTCCATTTGCTGATGTACCAATCCCTTGTGTTTTACAGTATCCCACAAATGACCGATAAACGGTAACGGGATGGGTCCCTTGGGGTAAATAGCTCTAGCCGCCCGATATGGCACAATCCAGTAAAAATAAACCGAAAATATGGCAGAAGCAATTAAAATTGTCTGCCAATGCACAAGAAGCGGTTCTAATAGGTCTAACAATGCCATTGCAACTGCAATAAAACTCGATCTGACGAGGACTCGCTTCTAATCCAACTACAGTTTCAGCTGCTCAGTTTCCCTAGTCAGCATTTCTTCCTTCTCTTCCCAGACTCCTGTCCGTTTGGAGGATTGCACCACTGATTGTAAATGGACTCAATATCAAGTGTAATATTCCCTCCGACACGACACTCTATAAATAAATTAATTTTAACTCATCTTCAGTTACATATATCACTTACTGTGTTTTAGACCTTGAAGATAACTTATCAACAAAAAATAATTGAGTTTCTCTTTCTCCATATTTTGTCCTATTTTCTTTGCAATCCTCATACAAGTGTAAATGAAGTCAAAACTCAAACATTTTTAAAAAGAAGGGATGGACTTCAAAAGAAAAACAAATTTCTTTTATTTCCAGTTTAATAAATATATAACAACATTTTATACTTCAAATATAACAAATATGTCATTATTAGTGCCCACTGAAGGTCTCACAATAAATATTGACACAGTGACTACTCTTTCTTGAAAAGGTATTGGTGATATAATGATGGGGAAAATCAAAAATAAAAACTGCGATTTTACTTGAAGTAATATAAATGTATATATGGAAGTCATTGGACCAAGCAGGGTCCATTTTGCCACCAACAAGATGATATTAACTAAGATAAATTTGGATAAGCACATTATGTGTACAACATTGATTAAGAGGAGTTTGATTCTCTCTTGAAATAAATGAAAAAAATTCTTGACCCTCAAAGGCCAGCACAAAAATCTTTGCTTTTAAATACATCCCAAATCATATAATATGAAATTTTACTTTGGTGGTGAAAAAAATGACATTTTTGTTAAAACAAAGTGTTTTCCTGTTTGTACAAAGAGGTTTATCGATATTGTTGCTAAAATCAAAGCAGTAAATAGTTTTCAGTGGCCACTCTTAAAATTATTTGTTACAAGCATAATGGATCAAAAGAACCTTGAAAATACATTCTGTTCAAGTGCATCACCATGCCAGAGAAACTTCAAGAAAACCAAATATTTATCCAGTTTTTGTCATTTAAATAGAAAACAAAGAGCTCTGAAATAATTCGATATTTGTAAAGATTTTGAGGCAAATCCTGTTCCTTCCATCCTTGAAATGTTGAATAAACAATCCTCTGTTCATATTTAGCTGCCACGTTCAAAGAACATGAAATCCTGTAAGTACCAACAACAGAAAAGCTATTAGATGATTCCATCAAATGGCTGCAAAACCAGGCATCATTCCATGGAAATTGCTTCCATGTTTTTCAAAACCAAAGTTATTCTTTCATTGTGCTCAAGAAAAAAAAGGACAAATGAAAATCATGATTTGAACATCACACCTCTAAATAATACATTTAGCTGCTTGCATTAGCTGATTGGCTACCTGAATCAATCACAAAATCTGGTCTGTTTACTCTTGTGCCTTAAACTGTACACTTCTTAAGTCCAGAAAAAGAAAAAAACTGCTTTAAGGTGAGTTTCAGTCATGCAATTTATCCTTAATTGACTTATTGTTCAATCAGCATGAGTGTCTGTACTTATTTCAAATAAGATATTTAACCCTTTAACTCCCAAGATCAAATTATTATTTCTCCCCTTAAACTGTTACAAATTTCTTTGTGAAGTAGTAATGAGAATTTGGTGTTAGATCAAGATAAAAAATTCTACTTGATAAGTTTTAATATTCTCATTACCTATTTGCTGGTTCATGTTAGGATATTATGGGGAGAAGTTTCATGTTGATCACTTCTGAGAGTTAAAGGGTTAAAATGAACTTACAACAAGGAAGACTGCTCCCAGTAAAATGGCTTTGAACTTTATCTCCAAATCTAAAGGGACTAAAGTTGGAATAAAACAATCAGATCAAATAGTGTTTGGAAAAATTTATTCACGAAATATTTAACTGTCAAAATATGACACTGACTGCTGCTGCAGAAATGTGTGTCACTGATATTAATTACTGCATAACACTTATCAAAAACCCATTACATTGGATGCCGAAGTTTGCTGCATCAGTGAATGTCTCTCGGGTACATCCGGTCCACTGTTTGGTTATCATTCCAATTTCACTGCTTCCGTCAGCTGAAAAAACCTGCATGTTGAGAAAGAAGCAATTTAATTTTTTTTCTCCCAGAGGTTGTTGACAGGTAACCAGCTCAAGCTATTGCACAATCTTAATACCTTTTATAGCAATGGAATGGTGATTATTAACAATCACATCAGTTCACTGATATTTTGTTTAAACACAAATTCTCCTAACAACTTTACAATGGGTTGCATACTGCTCTGTGGGAAAATTATTGCTCAGATTGTGGGTTTTAAAGGGTTAAGAAGATCAGATCTTTTGAATACTAAATAACCACTTCTGTTACTCTTGTGGACACCATATATACTCTTATACCTTTAGTGAATTCAGCATTTGTATTTCTTTTAACAATTGCAATAAATAAATAGGTGTCTTCTATTTATGTTACTAGGACTCACAGGGAACTCAATGTCTGAACAGCCACAAGGACAGCATGGTCCATTGATTGTCATGATGTGCTGATGCTGAGAATCTTGAATTTCTAGCTTTATTTTCCATGGAGATGGCCTGAGGAACAATTATGGCCAATATCAACTTATAACAGCTTGTATTGCACTGTAGGGCTTCTTCTCTACAATTTTAGGCCCCCTTAAGAAATAAAGTACCATGATAATATATCTCTGATATGATCAATTGACAGTTGGTTTGAATTTCATCTTGTGTCAGGCTATTGATAATGTGAGACTGAACTGGCTTCAACTCCAAGGACAATTATTCTAAAAATTTAAGCCTTGAAAGCCAGGATGCATTATACCAAGATAAATTAATGCAAATTTCAACAGACAATCTAGTCTGGAATGCAGTATGTGCATTGCACCAATAAAAGCTGAACAATAACCTTTATATATTTTTAAGTTTGGCTCCTAAAAATATCAATACTTTCTACACAGAGGGATTTTTCATTGCCCATTATGCATGAATTTTCTCCATGGCTGTGACTTACATCATACCTTCAAATATTTCAGGCAGGTAAGGAATATTATTTACTATCCATGATGGATTCTATAACACAGTCATAGGAGTTTCCTTAAAACTTGTGTAACTACCAGTTTAGTTATTATGACCATGATTTAATTTCTCAGCTGAGAGAAAAAAATATTAAATTTTATATCATCACTTTTGCTGCACATAGCCTATGACTGTTCCAGGGGGGGCTTGTATTTCAATCTCTTGAAGACAACAGGGCCACCAACAGCACTGGCACCGCACAGGGCGGGAGAGGTGCATCACTTCTCTTTGCATGTTATCAACAATTCTCATCTCAAATGGACGACCTGGACCACAGCACTGTCGAGTACAGCAGTCTGTGTCTGACAAGACAACAGAGTTAACCCTTTTACTCCTATGAGTGACCAAGACAGAATTTCTCCTTACAACATCTACACTATAGCAACTAGATAAGTGATGAGAATAAAGAAAAATATCAATTCGGGGATACCTGTATTTACTCACGTATAAGTTGATCTTTTATGACCCATTAAAAAATCAACCCAAAAAATCAACCCAAAAAATCACCCTTGACTTACACATAAGTCATACACAAAGACCTGACCCATGCCAAGCAATCCAAGAAATTAGCATAACAAACACCTGAAGTCCATTAGGAAAACCGAGTTTATAAAACCATTTTTAGCACATTCTTCATCAACAAAAAATTTTGAAATAATAAATTTTAAGTGGCTTAACAAAAGGCAACTGGAGCTGATTTCTATTGTGTCTTAGGACTGTAGAGTAGACTTTTTTGCCAGCAGCTTTGCTGCAGTTTACGGTGCTGAACTTTTGTTTTCATTGAATGATTACAGTGGCTTAGTGAGCTGGCTCACATAGTCTTAATTGTTATGTGTGATCCTTATCAAGGTACTTCAGTACTGACCTTCGGGCTAATTAATCTCCTTTCAAAAACATCAAGATAAAAGTTATTTAAATGCAAGAAGATTTCATTTTAAATGTGATTTACAAAATATGGTATAATACTTCTCCAGTGGTGATATCAACAAGTGCTAATAAACTTCACAGCACACGGTTACATTTTGCTCTGCATTTTTTTGAATTCCCTGCATTTTCAATACATTTTCAGAAATAAGAGATTAACTTCTTTGACTAGAAATGATGAAAAATCCGATTTTTGATCCTGAAAATGGGGGGTTGACTTATACACAAGTAAATACGATAATTAGTTGATCCAATACTAAATTCTCTGAACAAACAGAAATTGTATAGTTAACATTAAGGAGAATGACAAATTTGATCTGGGAGTTAAAGGGTTAAACTGGATGGAGATACTTAGTTCCTGATTAGTCTCAGGGTAAGCTTAAACAAGTATGAGCTGCAGGTAGACAGGGAATTGTTTTCTGGTTCTTGAAACTAAGGGGGTTGGGGACTTGGGTCAATTTTTGCTTGATTTGTATCCCTGCCTCTTGGAATCTTAGTCACTTCTGGGCAACTGTGATTTTCCTAATCTTAACTTGGTCACTTTCTGTATATGAATCTACAACAGCTTGAAATACAGCTAGATTTTTCCCTTTTTATATCCTTACTTACCACAATCTTCTTACCCAAAAATCCTGAAAATGTGCTACTTTGTTCTAGTAACTCTACTCAAAAAATGCAAACCCTGATTATATTCAATTCAGTTGTGAAAATGGGAGGCCATGTAGGGCTACATCCCCACTAGCCAATCACTAGGAATACCCCTCCCACTCTCTTAGGTATTCAATGAGTTGACTTAAATCATGGAGGAGAAAATGATAGATTTTTTCTTAACATGGGGTCAAGGTTTCTAGGCACCATGGCTCTTTCAACCCCAACAAAATTTCGACAGGTGACTCCCTATTTTCTACTAAGATGTGTTACATTTGGCATTATTAAACTTGGTAGCTAAGAAACAAAAAAAAAATACAGAGCTATGTTTACCTTCAAGAGCAAAGTATATTTGTTGACTCATGGTATTGCAAATCCTGTACTTATTGGTTCTTTCACATCCAGTCAAAACTTTGAAATAAAAAGATGAAGAACTAAGATCAATATGACTTAATATTGTCATTTTAGTAATGAAATCACTTTCGGCCAGAGAAACAAAAGGTTTATTATCTATCTTTTTAACTATTGATAACGTTATGCTATAATAAATTCCCTGACTACTCAGATCAAAAACTGGTTCAGATAATGTTTGGTTCCAGAATTATAAGATGACATGTCGGGTGACAAGGACTGCTTTGATTCAAGGTAATTAACATTACATACAGTGACTAATTTTCGATTCAGCAGGTGCAGAAGCTATCTAATTTCATCTTTCTCCATCTTTTTTTTTTCCTTTCAGTCAGAACACCTTGGCTTCTCTGACTCTCAGAATAAGTTTCGGTCAACGGTTGTTGTGGTTTAGCGTAAACTCGTGCTTGAATGAATCACTTAGCTACAAAGCTACCTTCGACAAGGTCGACCTGTTGATGAATCAGTATTTGATCGACGGCCGATAAATATTCCAGTCCTTGAGGGCAGCCCATTGGTGCTTGAGGTGCAGGCATCCAACTCATTTGTCCGGGGACCCCTACGCTCAAAAATTGCAAAAACAATTTTTTTCTCGTGAATTACGCATTGGCAACGTAATGATGGATAAAACAACTTCTTAATTCTACAAATGCATCGAAATTAAAGATTATCATCAGCGAATCTGTCAAGGAAAAGTTCCTGTTGCTGTGTAACAAGCTTCCAGCTGGAGTTGAGCTGAGGTTGCGGCGGGCAAGCTGCGGTGAAGCTTTCCTCAGAACACTTGCAAATTTTGGCGGGTGTTGTCAGGTCGTTCTGTCTTAACATCTAAACTGGTGGTGAGTAACATAAGTATTTCACAGAAAGCGTTATTTCATCGAACGTTTAAAAGTACACCATTTCCTGGAAAAGCTGTGAGGTTGTTTCGATTTACCTGGTTGTTGTTGAATGACAGGTTGCTGTGGTTGTTGATATCCATAACCTTGAGGCCACTCGTGAGGCTCACTTGCCATTCTTTTCAAGCTGAATCAAGGTTTAAGGAGTCTAAATCAGTCTTTTTTCGTCTTAAAGAACTTGCAAGTATGTAGAGTTCAGTCAGAAAGAAGACTAACCGCGTAAACAGACAGCGCGATAGGTGCGGTTTCTCGCTACCGGTAGAGGAATTTTGAAAACGATAAGAGTGGAACGGACTTTAAACTAAGGACCACGGACTACGAACAATCGTCTTACTTTGAGATACAGGTATCAAACATGGACTTGAGGTATACCAGAAGGGTTAGAGTACTAAAATTAAGAAAAACAAAACAAAAACAAAACAAAACGAAAAAAAAAACAACAAACCAGAAAAACAAACAAAGAGTAAAAATTAAAATATTTTCCTCAACAGTAAAGTAGAACATTTAAACAGTGCATTCAAAACTGAATTTTAAATTCTTCAAAGGTTCTGATTTCCTGTTGTGTTACAAAAATTTGACCTCTTGGTACAAGAGAGCACAAGCTCATGTTCTCTTTTCTTGATTTTGAGGGTTGTGACATCCTTGTGCACACAAAGATTTCCTCTTAAAATGGTTCTGTTCTATATCTTTTCTTATCTACTTTTACCCTTGTGTTTTGATTCACAAGGAGAGCTCAGAGTTTTAAATAGGACATTGGTGAATTGGCAAATTGAAGAGGCTTTTGTAATCTTCTGGATTTCTCTCGCTCAAAAATTCATTCAACTCATTGTCCAACTGACTGAACTGAGAGTACCAGCATAAATATGAGGTAGAAAAACAGAGGCCCTTTATCACCCCAAATTTCTGAAAAAAAGCCACGTTTGGCAATTTCAAATTTTATGGACTGTAACTCTATCAGTCCTATAAACAGGAAACTGGCGCATACAACCTTCCCTTTAAGGATCATTGATTGAGATGAATGATATCATAGGAAGATTCAGTTGCAGATATCTTTTCCTAAATTAATCCTTAAGTTTTCCCATGGTGGTCTTGTTATGCAAAGGAGAAAATATCCTTGATCTCAACTATTTGGACTATGCTGTCTGAAATTTCACCTATCACATTATCGTTAAGGAGGCAAGGTTTCTATGTGGTTTGAAAAGGTAAAAAATAGGAAAGGCAAAACAAAAGAAATTTTGTTTATTTTGAAGTCAAGTACATAACTGTTGAGAAATGGAATCAGTTAGGTTGTTCAGGGCTGGTCTTCAGATCTAGAATAAGTGTTCAAAAATCCCTGAATGAAGCACTAAAATAATTTACCATCTCTTCAGTATCAAAATGCTTTCTTTGAGTATTGTGCTGCTTCTTGCCTCACCATGTAAGGTTCACAAGAATAAAATTTGGATTAAAGTTTCTTTACAAAGGCACACTAGTGAGACTGTGGGCTGAAACTCTGGTGCTACTGAATCACAAGCTCAGTACCCTGTGGCACTCCACAGACATCCCTATGTTCATAGAATAACTCTCTCAACTTCTGTGCATACTCAGAATGCAGTTTATTTATTTGTTCCTTGCTTGGATTTTCCACTCTTTCCACAGAGATGGGTGATCCAACTGAAAAATGTTACACAGTAATAATCTGGGTCAAATTAAATGCAATGTCAGTCTGTAATATGTCTGTTTTATACATACATACATAAATACATATATATATAAAGAAACATGTACTAGTAAGTAATGGAAGCTGGTTGAAAGGGTTTACTCTACCTCATTATTTTAGAAATTTGCTTGAATTTTCTGTAATTTATAACAAAGTAACTTTAGGTTCTAAAATGGAAAACAACTTACCAACAACAGTTATGGGTGTGGAATAAGGCATTACACAATATTGTGCATATGGCAGTACCGAACAGCTCTTCAAGAAAACTTTTATCCACTTCTCCCATTTGCTGCGACCAATGTGATAAGCAGTCAGGAGGCCGTTCAGCTTAAGCTGACGACTAATCACATTGTTCTGTCCAAAAGCAAAAACTGGAACTAAATGAGCCCTACCATCATAAAGGAAAAAAAAAAACTCAGGCTTGACCCATACACATTTGATGCTTGGTAATTGTGAAATCAGCCCACCATTCTATACATTCAGTGTTGCTGTCCATAGCTTCTGGGAGTTAAGGAATAAACTTCCCATGACCATTTTTTTGCATAATCTTTAGTGTACAGGAGACAGCCTGTTCTAGCCCCCCCCCCCCGCCCCCCTCATTTACTTTGCTGACCATGAGTGAGACCCAGACCCAGTAACCAGTCACAGAGCTCAATAATTTTTACCTCTTTTTTAACCAGACTTTTTATTTTAAAATTGCACAAACCCACTGTAGCTAATTAGCATCTTAACCTACCTATACTTGTGACCTCCTATGTTGCAGTTTAACACAGAAAATTGACCTCTTACCCAGTCTCCAAGGCCAGCTGAACAAAACCCTTACGCCTCTCAAGAGTTATGACATAAGAGTCACGGTTCATGTTAAGTATATCACATGTTCCACCAATTGCTATGGCAACAGAATGTCCAGGTCCTTGCTGAGTCAATACAAACTTGCAGCTGTCACGATGGACATTTATGACGCCAAGAGCCATGGCAATTTCACGAAAAATTGGGGACCTACTCATAACTACAACACAAAGTGAATCAATCAGCAAATTGAGGTAATAGATCATTGAAAAATTGATTGAATGATTAATCATGGCATGAATTTCCTGATTATCATCTAGAGAAAGGGAGACTGTTAAGCATGCTATCACTCTGGGTAGAAGTAAGCTATCAACTCAACAAAAATCAATTAGACATGAATAAGAAAGCGGAAAGGGAGTGAAAATTACAGGGATTTAGTAACGCTAAGCCACTGCGTTTTTTTACATGGTTAAAATTATTCATAGTTTTAAACGATCAGCCTATTCTTGATGTGATCTCCGTCGCAAATGTTTCCTGAGATGTCACGCAGTGAAATTTACGCTTTTCGACGTTGCGTTGTTACGTGACGTCGTTTCGTGACAAAACATGGAATTGACGCTACCACCCGAAATGAAAAATATACATGATAAATAGAAGACTTTCATAATTTTATGGTATACGTACAAGAGTGTGCCCCAATGTAAGGAACAATCCCTGGAAAAATTTTACTGAACTGCAAGGCTTCTGATCCGAAGCTCAAGGCAAGGCCATCAGGGAACATGCCGTGAGGATGGTAACCAAATATGTAGTTTTTGGAAGAGTCTAAATCTGTGGTCTTAAGTAACGTGACTGGGAAATAATCTCGCATGTACCTAAAGAAAACGTTATTTCTCACAAACTCTGCTCTTCTTCCTCCACGGTTAGGGGTCTCCAAATCAACTAAATACCACCAGGCTATGTAGGCAAAACCGAGCGGCCAACTAAAGTGGAAGCATCGATAAAGTCCGTAAAAGAATAATGGGCCACAGAAGAAGAGAGTTCCAGACAGCAAAATGAAGTAGAAAATGATAACGCTTGCTCCCTGAAGACATCGTGATCCGTGACCAGCCATAGAGGCTGAAAGTTGAGTCAGTTCAGTTTAAAGGTTGGTCTTTGATCGTAAAGTACGAGTTGCTTGTTATTACATGAGTGGTCCACCGCTGACCACAAGCCGTCTCAAATGGAAGGTTCGTTTAAGTAGAGCAAATAATAGTTTGGAACAAACCCAGAGGACAAATTAGAATACATTCTTAGTTCATCGAAAGCGAGCTCTATGATGTAACATTTTTCCGATAGAAAATTGCATGCATGAGAGTGATATTTTGCCTGATGATGTACTTCGAGAAGTCCTTACCATATGCATGATATAGGCATCAAGACTGCTCCAGTCAATATCAATACCGTATAATATATGAATTCCAAAAATAAAAAAGTACCTTACTCATGATGGTTATTTCACAACAGCAATTAACCACCATATGGTTGATAATGCAGCAAAGAGCAAATTTAACATGAGGTCTTTCCCGGCGACTTTACTTGCTTTCATTCATGACTCATTTCCCAAAAATGTACATGTTTTGTAACTGTAGTTTTCTTTAACAATGGAATAACTGTCTTGTTTCTGTTTGGGACCATTATTGATTATACTTAAGGGAATTAGGGCGAAGAAGTCATGCAGGAAACCGCAATAAGAACGGAGACGGCTCGTATAGTGATGGGAGTGGATGTAATAAGGTTGGACGGGAGTAGAGTGTTTCAAAAGATATGAATAAAATCGTTATTATAAGTTTATTGCCTTATCAATAGTAAATAGTAAAATATAGATTTATTACAAACATGTCTGAAACTTAAGGTTTATAAATATTATAACAAGGCTGATATGTATGATAACGATGCAGCTGGTCAATGGTAATTCTCCAAAAATGGGACCCTTGAATGAACGGCATCGATTTTAGAAGAGAGTTTCCAACGGAGACAAGACAGTTCTTCACTTTTGGGGAAAGAAAAGACATTCATGCACTTATAGGCGACAGCTGATCCTCACTTCTGCTAAGATTCCTCGACGACTGTGAACTTTGGTCCTTCCGGCAAACTAAATTTTGCATGTGTCAAAGTTTTCCCAGTTGGGGACTGGGGACGTGTACACCATTTTGGAGATAGCATCAAACTGAGAACAGGTTTCCATTGTCGTGAGATCACCTGACCGTCTACCCGTAGCAATTGGAGATAATCATGCTGCAACAGAAACACTGTATTCAAAATTAACTGACATTTTTTAAAATAAAGAAGAAATGGATGGTAGCATTTTAGCTGTAATATGGCGAAACATAAACATTCATCTTAAAGTCAAGAAAATAGAATGAAGATGGAGGTTTGACAGCGAATGCCGGCTATCATAAGAGTTTCATCTTTACTCGTTAGAATATAGGGGATAGTCAACGCAATGGACAGAGGTGGAAAACATGGATTGGGAGAAGAAATTCTGCTTAATAAGCCTTCTGTTATTACGGGCACTCAAAGGTTTTTTTACCTTGAAAGGTGGAAGCATACTGATCGTCATATATCGATGGTCGAAGCGTGAATATCTGAAAAACATGTGAACCAAAAGTACAGAAGACAATAATGAAGAACAAACTTTATGACTTCAAACAGAAATCGTAAAAAACAAAACGACAATTATTGAAGACCGAAATGAATGACGTTGCCATTTCTTTTCTTATCTTTTTGTCTAGTATGCTGCCGGTACGTCTTGAGTTATATTTATGGGTGGAGCGAGACGAGCCACTGAGAAATGATGTAGCTCGCACGGCGTCACGAATGGGATTTGGGGAAGGAAAAGGAGAAAGAGAAAGGTTAAATTTCTCTTCTCTTGTTCAACGCGACATCTCACTTGTTCGCTGCGCTCACTCGTGAGCTATCGAGTTAAAAACTTAGAGAGAAATTCCGTATCTACACGCGCCCATGTATTATTCTCTATTTATCAATACTACTCAATATTATTACTAGTAATATTATTATGGTGTATGATTTTGACCAGTTCAGTTTAAATTGCTGTAATTAGCGAGTTCTACATATACCTATATTGATTGTGAAGAGCATCTGACCTTGAAATGGTAAATTGATATTTGCCTACTATAAATTAATAAATATTATTAAATATTATTATTAATTTTGTAAGAACTTGCATCGTCTCCCTTCACTCTTTATGCAACATTCAGTGGACATGAGACAGTAATGAACTCTTAACGTTCTTTCGTGTGATTATATCACCATCTCGTTGAGTTACTACAACAACTGCTGCCCAGCTCTGCTGCTCTGCCCTGCTCTTGAAAGTATCAAATACAGTTAGTCGCTTTCATTTTATTTGACAAGATAAAACAATAAGCATAAAAGGAAAAGTGCATGAGTGGTATACGATACGGCTAAGATATCGCCATTCATTTGGCATCTCTGAGATATGGACTTCAAGCGACAGACTTGTCATTAGAGTGTGATATTTCTTCTCTAAGATATGGATTTCATATTTTAGATCTGAAATAGGAACTTATATCACAGATCTGAGATACTTTTTATAACACAAATCTGAGATAATGTGAGTACGATACCACAGATTTGCGATATGGCTGATATATCTTG